ATAAATAAATAAATAAATAAATAAAAATGCTCATATCCGAAAAAAAAAAGAAGAACAATACTGCTCATGTAACTTGAAGTGCAGAGGTGGGACAGATTTCAGGTTTGGTTACTCAGTGGCTTAATGACACTGTCATAGGAGACACCTTTGGGTCTCTCCACTCTGCTGTCTACCACATGGGCTCTGTTCTAAGGCTCGATCACCTTGCAGTCATGAGACAGGGCCACAGGTTTCCTGTCCACAGGGGAGAGAATCTCATCTACTACCATGGAATACAAGTCCTCCATTCTGTCTGGGTTGGCTTCCCCACAACAGGTGCCAATCCCTGTGCCAGAAACAGACCCCAAGATCATTCCAAGAACTGATGGGATCAGACCAAACAGAACTAACTTCTCTTCCTCTCTCTCAGGACCTGGGGCTGGGGACCCAGGAAACCTGGTGATCTGGAGGGAAGGCAGAGGGGAGAAGGGGTGGATATTGGTGGACACCAAAGAAAACCCAACCTACTGCTCTTGGGGTGCATTTATGTACTTATCACAGGCTCTTGAGGTTATCTGGGGCACACAAATTGAGACCCATTAAGTAGGGAGGAATATGGACCCATGCTCTGCAGAGATTTGAGGCAACACAGACTGACCCTCACTCAGAGCTGAGCCTAACTGTGATTTCCCCATTAAAGATGCAAAATCAGCCAAATTTGATCTGAGAACTAATCAACATAGTCCTTTTCAAAAGTGAATTTGAACTGGGATGAAACCAAATGTAAACACACAAGTGTTCTCCAAGCCAGCCAAACAAGTGACAGAGCTGGATGACTGGGAAGGGTGCCTGGTCCAGTAGCCTGGGGGAAGCTGAGGGCTTTTATGCTGAAGAATAGGAGGGAGAAGCAGTGGCCCTAACCTAGGATGCTGCCATTGGTACTCAGCATCCAGCCTCCAAGATGAATAATTTTTTCTTCTAGAGGCAGCTGCAGGGCAATGGAATGACACAATTTTTGAAGTCAAAATATCTAGAAGCTCAATTATATACCATTTGTCAGTTGTATGGCCTTGAACCTCCTCCAGCCTCTATTTCCTCATTGTGAAGTAGTATAACAAATGTAACTCAGTCCTAGATGAAATCTTGGAGGACGTCACTCTGTGGAGGATAAAAAGACCCAGGGACGTCACTCATAGCTCTGTGTCTCCCCTTCCGGCCCCTGGGCTCCTTCTGTCAGACAGCCTTCCCCCAACTCCTCCCCCTATTTCCCACCCCCACCTCCTTCAGTGTCTATCTCAGCCTTGGCTCCTCTCTAAAGCTTTCGCTAGCCTCCTAGACTCCTCTGCTTGCCCCCTGCATGTGTTGTCTGCTTCCCCTATCGGTTATTTACTTAGACCTTCTGCTGTCTGTCCCTGTACTGCTCTCCTGCACTACCAAATGCACCTGTTATCTGCTCTCCTGTTTGCAAGGCCAGTGTTTGTGAGTGCGAACGGGAAAGCAAATAACTCTCTCCAGGTCTCCTGTGTGGATAAGGAACCATGTCTCCCACCTCTTTTTTGGCTCAGAATGTGGGAGGGGAACAAGCCTTGAAATCACCTGTCACTTGAGGTGACAACTCAGAGACATGAAAAGATCTGCCAAAAGGTACTCAGGTCTGGCGGTGGAGCAGGCCTGGTGATGCTCAGTGACACTCTCAATGGGGTGGGGACATGAAGGGAACCTGATTTTGCAAAGTATACAGGCCCCTCCCCATGTGACTGGTCACTGTATGTAACACTGACACATTTCTGATGGGTGGGTATCGTGCCGGGTTCCACGCTAGTGGGAAAGACTGGCCACAAAATGGGCCAACCTATGACGATATAGGGTGAGATCAGCACTGTAAAACAGAGCAGGATGTGGTGAGGGAGGGTCAGGCCTGCAGGAGGGAATTCATTCAGAACAGGTGGAGGTGGGGGTGAGTGACTTGGGGAGGGGTTGGGGGCCAGAAGCTGGACTCACAAAGAGTTCAGCCTGGTCGAGAAACAGGGAGCTCAGTGGCTGGAGGGGAGCAAAGGGAGAGGGGTTTGGGGCAACGTCAGGAAGGTGAGCAGGACCACGCCGGGCAAGTGCTTATAGGTTGCTGCAAGGAATTCAGATTTTGTTCTCAGTATGGTGAGACCGCTGGCATTTCTGAGCCACTGTGAGGAGAGGGGCAAGAAGAATAAGAGCACGAGACTGGGGGGAGAGAAAGCAAAGAGGCAGGCAGCCCAGGAGAGAAGAGCAGAGGGAAGGTCTGGACGGCACCCCCAGGCCCAGCCACAGGCAGGGTGGGGGAGGCATGGAGGAAGGGGTGCCAGAATAGGGCCGCCATCTCAGCGGCCCAACAGGGCTCATGATGTTGTGGATTCTGATAGGTTTGGAGATGACATTTTGCCTTCCTAGTTATGCTTCTCAGAAAGGAAGGGAACCACAACCCTCCCTCTGCCAACCAGGAAGGGTCAGGTCATCTCATCTCCATTCTGTGGGTGGAAGGCAGGCAAAAGATCTCTTTGTGGACTAATCAGAATGACTTGTGTTTGCAGTTCAACATTAAAAAGTCCACAGAGCCTGTCCAGCCCCGAGCCCTCCTCAAGTTCCCAGACATCTATGGACCCAGGCCGGTGGTGACGGCCCCAGAGGTCATCAACTATGTGGACTACACACTGAGGACCACAGAGGAGCCTGCTGTGCCTGCCAGTCCCCTGGCCCTGAATGACAGCCGCCTCAAGAGGCAGGTCACAGAGGAGCTGTTCATCCTTCCTCAGAATGGTAGGGGTCTCCTGCCCCTCACTCTCTTAGTGGGGTTGACAGCATCTCTGTAGATGTTGAGTGTGGCCAGACCCAGGGCCCCTGACATTTGACACTGGACAGTGAGAAGGGGCCTCAGGATGACAGTTCTGTATTCTTGCTGAGAGGTTGCCACGTTACTTCTCTCCAGGGCCTCCAGCTTTCCACTGGGAGAGTCCCTTTCAAGTATTGTGTGCAGCTCTGTGGGAGGGGATGGAGTCGGGGTTAAACCATGGGCTTCAGAGTCATAGGTTTAGTTCTCTGACCTTTTATACATTTATGTGTCTTTGACCGTGTTCTAACCTACCTGAGCCTCAGTTTCCTCTTATATAAATTGGGATCATACTACTATCTGCCTGGTAGGGTTGTCATAAAGCATAAATACAATGATGCATACAAAGGACCTGGTACAAAGGATGTAATCATATTGTTATTATGGTTGCTCCCACTCCTTCTCATCAAGAAGCAACACCTCCAGGGGTGCAGTTCTGGGTTGGGAACTTGGGCTGATACACAAAGCAGAGCTAGTCCCTAACCCAGAGGAGCATGCAGGCTTTTATAAGGAGGCAAAATACCCATCTGTGACAGTGGGTTGTGTGGTCTGGGGTTCTGTTTTGTGTGGTTGGGGAGCGAGATGGTGGAAGCAGAGACAGAATAAAGAGCTCTGACACTGACCCCACTCCTAATGCATCTCCTGGCCTGGCTCCAACTGTGCCCCACACTGGCCAATGAACAAGTGCCCCCCAACCCAGCCCAGAAACACAGTGATCAGCCTGGCATTTCTTCAAGAACAAATTCACATAGTGCCTATGGCATGAACAAATCCTGGCTGACTTTTAGCTTCCAGGTTTGCCAGCACACATTTAAAATAGATGGAAAATAGACCCATGGAGGGCTTGAGAGCTGAAGCTGGGAGGGTGGGGAACAATTTGCTTGAGGAACTTTGGGGGTCATAATCAGAAACATAATCACAGAAGGTCTCTCCTTTACTGGGAGCCCCAGATTTCTCAAAGCTTGGATGAAGCCAGGACTGGACACTGTTCACCAAGGAGAGCAGGAGAGCACACCGGAGTCTGGAACTTTGAAGGATTTGGAGCACAATTGTTCATTTTCTCCTTTTTGAGGTTCCACGTTTCTGTCCTAACCCTAGAAGGCAACAACCAAGCTCTGATTCCACAGAAATATATCAGTAGTCGATTGGTTCAACAAATGTTGATCAAAGGCAAGGGAGTGCAGGGAAGGATGGTGCTAGATTGAACAGACACTGTCCCCTCCATGTGCCAATGCCATCGACTCCCCAGCAGCCCCTTGTAGAGCTCAAAACCCTGTTTCTTTAAGCTGAATCTGCACCTGCATTTCTAAGTGGTGCAGGTTTGGTTGTGATTTGGTTTGGGTTTTGAAAGCTGTGGCAGTCTTAAGAGCTGAGAACTCTGTCTGCCAGGCAAGCTCCTTTGGGTACTGTCTGCTCTGGTTGCCCCCATGTGGTACCCTTGGAAGCCTGTACACAGGTCTGTGTGCATGTGTGCCTCATTTTCCACATTGCTCACATCTTGGCCAATTTGTTCCTTGCTTATTAAATGTACCACAGAAATTTTTCACTACTTGTAGGAACTTAGTAGTGAACCATTTTGGAAATTAAACAGTCCTTTATATTTCTGCCCTCTAAAGTAGTCCTGAAAACCAAAAATCTTTTAAATTCCAATCTGCTTAAAGTGGAATCTCCTGCAGATGCTGGATCTTTTAATTCTTTTTTTTATGGTATCATTAATATACAATCACATGAGCAGCACTGTGGTTACTCGATTCCACCCATTATCAAGTCCCCACCACATACCCCATTACAGTCACTGTCCATCAGCGTACTAAGATGCTATAGAGTCACTACTTGTCTTCTCTGTGTTGTACTGCCTTCCCTGTGCCCCCCCATATTATGTGTGCTAATCATAATGCCTCTTTTTCCCCCTTATCCCTACCTTCCCACCCATCCTCCCCAGTCCCTTTCCCTTTGGTAACTGTTAGTCCATTCTTGGGTTCTGTGATTCTGCTGCTGTTTTGTTCCTTCAGTTTTACTTTGTCTTTATACTCCACAGATGAGTGAAATCATTTGATACTTGTATTTCTCTGCGTGACTTATTTCACTGAGCATAATACCCTCTAGCTCCATCCATGTTGCAAATGGTAGGATTTATTTTCTTCTTATGCCTGAATAATATTCCTTTGTGTATATGTACCATATCTTCTTTATCCATTCATCTACTGATAGACACTTAGGTTGCTTCCATTTCTTGGCTATTGTAAATAGTGCTACAATAAACATAGGGGTGCAATGTCTTTTTGAATCTGGGATCCTGCATTCTTAGGGTAAATTCCTTGGAGTGGAATTCCTGGGTCAAATGGTATTTCTATTTTGAGTTTTTTGAGCAACCTCCATACTGCTTTCCACAATGGTTGAACTAATTTATATTCCCACCAGCAGTGTAGGAGGGTTCCCCTTTCTCCACATCCCTGCCAGCATTTGTTGTTGTTTGTCTTTTGGTTGTTGGTCATCCTAACTGGTGTGAGGTGATATCTTACTGTGATTTTAATTTGCATTTCTCTGATGATTAGCGATGTGGAGCATCTTTTCATGTGCCTATTGGCCATCTGAATTTCTTCTTTGGAGAACTGTCTGTTCAGATCCTTTGCCCATTTTTTGATCAGATTATTTGCTTTTTGGTTGTTGAGGCACATGAGCTTTTTATATATTTTGGATGTCAACCCTTTATCGAATCTGTCATTTATTAATATATTCTCCCATACTGTAGGATGCCTTTTTGTTCTACTGATGGTGTCCTTTGCTGTACAGAAGCTTTTTAGTTTGATATAGTCCCATTTGTTCATTTTTGCTTCTGTTTCCCTTGCCCGGGGAGATACATTCATGAAGAAGTCACTCATGTTTATATTCAAGAGAGTTTTGCCTATGTTTTCTTCTAAGAGTTTAATGGTTTTATGACTTACATTCAGGTCTTTGTGGATCCTTTAATTCTTATATTATGTTTAGCTAATGAGAATCTTCCAGATATTTGGCCCCTGTTCAAGTGAGGGTCAGAGTGAGCAATGTGGGTGGTTTTAGGAACTTGTGAATTAGAGATAAGATCATTCACTTATTCATTCAGCAAGTATTTATTGAACATTCACCAAAATCAAAACCACTACCTCTGACCTTGCCCCCCAAAATCTCTCCTGACTCATTCTTTGACATTTATCTCCAGCCAGGAACTCCAGGGAAACAGGGACTGCACACTCTGTGGGAGACGTAGAGCTGGAGATGGGCTGGGGATGATTTGCCTGAAACAGGGTGACCAGAGCCACACAGGCTGTGACTGAAAGCTCACCAGGGCCAGGGGCTGGGCTAAGTACTTTCTTACTTTATTTCATTTAATACAAGTAAGTCTGGGAAGGAGGAATTGTTATCATCCCCACTATACAGATGAGGAAACTGAGGTTCAGAGAAGTCAAATAACTTGACTATTATGTAGCAGCCCATGTCTGGGACCAAAGCCCATGTCCTGACCACCAGCCATGGTGGTCTCTTGACCTAGAATGCCTGGTCCCTTGATGAGGACCACAGGTGTTGCCCTGGTGCGGCCACCATGATTTTGCACCAAGCTAGAAAGCTTTGGGTTTGGATTCATGACATATGTGGCAAAGATGGAAAAAATGTGATCCAGAAACAGGACCCCAGCCTGGGTAGCAATGGTGACCCTACCTCTCTTAACAGGTGTGGTAGAGGATGTGTGTGTCATGGAGACCTGGAATCCAGAGAAGGCTGCCAGTTGGAAGCAAGCCCCCAAACTCCACTACTGCCTGGACTATGACCAGCAGAAGGCAGAATTGTTTGTGACCCACTTGGAAGGTAGTACTTTTATTTGACTTTCACGGGGTCCCATGTATCCTCTACTCTGGAGCAGCTGTACAGGGGGGATGGGAGCTAGAGAGAGCCCTAGGTGCTAGATTAGCACTCCAGGTTGGGGTAACAGACCCCAAAATGTGTGATGCTCAGACACATTGGGGTTTCCCTGACCCCACCTCTCTTATATAACACCCAAAGTAGAGAATCCTGGCTGGAATACATCTTTCCTCCAAATGGTGATTCAGGGGGCCAGGCTGTGGCTTCTATCTGCGGCTCCATGTCATCAGGCTTCCTTGTCATCTGTATGTAGGAGGTGGAAGGAAAGGGAGCAGAGGGAGAGAGCACAAAAGTTCCTTAAAAGCTGTGACCAGCACAGGGCATACATCACTCCTGCTCACATCTCATTGGCTGGAACTCAGTCCCATAGCCACTGACTGTAGGGGAGCCTGGGAAATGTGGCCTTGTGGGTGCGCAGCAAAAAAGAGAAAATGGGTGTTTGGTGGACATCTAGGTGTCTCTGCCACAGACGCTTTTGGTATTGGACAGGGCTTTGTGCTGGACACAGAGAGTGTTCTGATGGGCAGCAAAGTATCTGTAATCCCAGAACTGGGTGGTCTTTCCACGGGGGTCAGGATAGCCCTGGTCTCCTACCCTGACAATTCACTTTACTGCCAGCAAACAAATCTAAGACTTTGCAAAGGAATTGGGTCTAACAAGGCTACCCTTTGGCTCCTGGAAGCTGGACGCTGTGAGCAGCATAAATGGGACTTTTGTACTAAATTTTATATTTTTAGAAAGTGTTTTCCTTTTTATTTTTTTTCAAGGTATTTTTTAACATTTTCATGTACTTGATTATATTTGGTCTTCACAATAGTCCCATTTTACAGAATAGGAACCTGAGGTCTAATGACATCAGGTGACTTGTCTAAGATCATACCAACTAATTGGTGCCAGAGCCAGGACTACACCTTGAAGCCCAGTGGAGAGCTCTTTCTATCAGGACACATGGCACAAGTTCTTCCTCTTTTCTTCCTGAGAAACATCAGCTACCACTTCTCAAATTACCATTGTGGAGCTAGTCATAAAAGCTTCACAGGTTCAGATTTCTGATGAATCCACATTTTGCAAAGCATTAAAAACACCAAAGTTCAGTATATGAAACAACATTCATGAGGTAGCTGCCAAGTAAGTCACATCATAGGAGGTTGTGTGGTATGTACAGAACAAATTAATGATGGCTTCAGCACCAACCCTTAAAAACATCAGCCACAGTTTGTGGGGCCTAGGGCCCTGAGGAAGTCTCAGAGTCATTAGCACAAAGAGCTCTGGGAAGTACCAGGTCTCGTCTCTGTTCTTCAGGGAAGATGAGCATGTGCTAATGTTGCCTTAGAAGGATCTCCTATTTTGAAATGTCTTACTAAAAGGCGACTCTACAGCGGCAGGGTGGTCAGCCCTGGGGTCCTTCATACACCCCCAGTCATGACTGTTAAGCTGGATTCTGCAGCTCAAAGCAGGGCGTCCCTCCTCCCCTTGTCCTTGAGAAGTCCCTTGGCTGTGTTGCTTTCTCCTTGGCTGCAGCTGTGACCAGTGACCACAATGGCGGCTGTGACTGCTACATCCAAGGCAGTGTGGCCAGCAGGACAGGCACTGTGGAGGCCCAGACGGCCCTGAAGAAGCGGCAGCTGCACACTGCCTGGGAGGAAGGCCTGGTGCTCCCCCTGGCAGAGGAGGAGCTCCCCACAGCGACTCTGATGCTGACTCTGAGGACCTGTGACCGCTTCTCCCGCCACAGTGTAGCGGGAGAGCTCTGCCTGGGCCTGGATGGGGTGTCTGTGCCTCTGGGGGCTGCCCAGTGGGGTGAGCTGAAGACTTCAGTTAAGGTAGGGTTACCTCTGGCTGGGAAAAGTAAAATATGTTAGGGAGTGTGGGATGGCAAGGCTGGACTGGTGTTCATAAGACAAGCTTCAGAGACCTACCCAGTATGGGCATGTGCGTGTGTGTGTGCGCGCGCGCACGCGCGCACATGTGCGTAAGGAAGATCAAAGTCTTAAATAGAGTGGAGGTCTGGAGCAGACCCTGTAGCCCAGGATTTGGGATTCCTGGTATCTAGTTTTGCTTCTAGCTTGCCATGCATAGACCCCCACCCCATCCCCCTGCCCAGCCATCATGGAAAACGTACTATGAGCACATTGGCTCTGGTGCTGACAGTATTATTCGTATTCCAATTGATTAACACACCCTGTGTACCTACTGCATTTTTTCATATACAACAATAGTATACACAGCAGTATAACTCCTTTGGGTTCCGGGACCCAATTCCAATGCGCGTGTATGCGGGAGGGGGTTTTCTGCACACACAGCACCAAGCACCTCTCAAATACCAGCAGGCTGTCCAAGAACTCAACTCAATTTTGATGCTGTCTTCCCAAAGACAACATGAGATTCCCCAGATTAAAGGCTCCGTCCTACAAGACTGCCCTCCACCCTCAACCCTAGACACCTGTCAGAAGCCCCAGGCAGTTAGTTACCTGTGGTTCTGACCAACAGGCTACAGATTGGAGTTTCCCATGACCTCCCCCTTAGGTTCTATTAATTTGCTACAGCGGCTCACAGAACTCAGGAAAACATTTACATTTACCAGTTTAATAAAGGATACAAGTTAAAGGCCAGATGAAGAGATACATAGGGCATGGTCCCAAATAAAGGAGCTTCTATCCTCATGGAGCTTTGGGCCTGGCTCCCTGGCGCATGGAAACTTTCTGGTTCCCCAACAGTGGAAACTCTCTCCAATGGAGAAGAGCGGTGGGCTCTTCTCCAAGGTTTTGGTGAGAACTTCATTGCATAGTCATGATTGACCAAATCATTGGCCATTGTCTGATTCAGCCTCCAGCCCCTGCCCTTGGGGGGAGTCCAAAAGTCTTTCATTAACATGACAAGACACCCATTTTGCCTTTAAGGCTCTGAAGTGTTTTCAGGAACTGCGGATGAAGACCAAATATACCTGGAAAATATATATTTGGTCATCAGAATGACCAAATATGTATTTCTTATAAATCACTGTATCACACCTACTCTGTGCTGGGCACTGCCGGGGAGATGGGCACCAGGCCCTGTGCCTATAGCACTTACAAACCAAAGTGATACACTGTAACAGACAAATGATGGTAAGGATGGTGATGACCTCTGATGTCTTGAATTCTGAGACATCTAAGAGGGACCCAGTGAAAGTGCTCTGACAGAGAGTTCCAGAAGGCCTGGTGTGAAGTCATGCTTGTGATGGGCTTTGAAGAACTGACTGGACTAGGAGCAGCCCCAGAGCCCAGCACTCTCCAGCAGCAGTGGCCCTGGAATGGTTCTCCCTAGCCCTCTTTCTCTGGGGGAGGCGTGGGTAGGAGGAAGTGGCTGCAGAGATGCTGTTTTGTTCAGAGGGGGCTTCCTTGAAGAGCAAACCACCATCTCCATGGACCAGGGCAGTTGGGGGTCAGGGAAGAGCAGGGCTACAGGTGGTGTGTGGTGCTTAGGCCCTGGGTCGAGGCATCATCCAAGGGCCATCATGATGTGGCCTAGAGGGAACATTCTGGAACCAGTCTCTCAACCAATTGGCCCATCCCTTATCTGGAAACTGTATACTCTCCAAAGCCTTAAGTATTTACTGTCTGACCTTTACAGAGAAAGTTTGCTGACCACCACGCTAGAGTAATAAAAATACCAAAAATAGCACTAATTTTTGAGTACTTTCCAGCTATCAGTTGCTGTACTTCGAACTTTACCTAAGTTCTTTGTGAATTAAACCAAGCAAAAATGATGTGTGACTCTCTCATTTACAGACAAAGGAACTGAGGCTTAGAGCTGTCCAGCACCACATGCAGGGTCGCCCAGCTGGGACATACAAGCTCAGCCTCGAGGCCAGGCCAGTCTGGCTGTAAATCTTGGGCTGCTCCCTGCCACTGTGCCAGCTATGGGCCTGACTCTGAGGAGTGACCAGCAGGAGCCCTGCCTGCTGGACTCTGCAGGAGGGAGAGTACATGTTCACTCCCCGCCTGCTCCCCTTTTGGCTCCGATCTCTTCCTTGCTTTATTATTCTTTTTCCCAGCCTCAGAAAATTGATAAAAATTGACAGCCACTCGCAGCTGGAACTATGCTGTTCCAAAGCATACTCTCTAATTAGTGTGTGATTTGGGACTTGTGCAGAATTCCATCTGGGGGCCTGGGAAGAGGAACTGATGCTTTGGTTTGTTTGGCTGGTGAACCACCTCTCTCTGGAGACGGAAGGGCTCTGATGCCCCTCCACTGGTACCACTCCCAAAATGGCTGAAGTCTGGCCTGTGTAGGCAGATGTCTCAGGCACCTACCCTGCTTCTATCCTTCCCTTGGAAGAGCAAACCTCATTCATTTCACAAATACCTCGCCCAGTTTCTACCATGTCCCAGGCACTGTGCCAGGAGCTGAGAACAGGGCAGTAATTATGACAAAGCACTGCCCTCCCGGCTCCCTCATCCCAATACTCACAGCCGTCACCATCAGGAAGTATACTCTCACCTCACTTGGCCCTCTGCCCTGTTTCCCACAAAGGAGAACAACCCAAGAGGGCAGTATAGAGTCACACGCAGGGGGTGGCCCTCAGTGCCTGCAGCAGGAGAGAGCCCGAGGCCAGGCTAGGGAGCCCTTTGCTGCAGCTGGAGGGTGTGGGCCAATTTGGACCAGTGGGTGGAGCCTGCAGCCACTGCAGCCCACACCTTGTCTTCTCCGGGTCAGAGGGTATTAACAGAGGTACCAGCAGTGTCCCACTTTTCACCAGAAGACACTCAGAGGTGGCATGTGCGTCACCAGGGATCACAGAGTGATCCACTCTGAGGGCATTGTGAATGATGCACTGAGAGTCCAAGGGAAAGATGGGGGTGGCAAGAGGGAGAGGATGAGGAAAAAGAAAGGGTTATTTTTGTCAGCAGGTATTTGAAGCTGCAGAGCTGTGTTGTGAAAATTCAGCGAGGGCTTATCCAGAGCTCTTGGCACCCCATGTACAGGTGACAAGACCTTCACAGGCTGATGGACCCAGGCTCCTCCAACCTGGTTGGGGGAAGGAGCACCCCCACCTGGTCACCCTGTGGCTACAGCTCAGGCCAAGCACAGACCTCTAATGAGCGGCCTTAAATAGGGAGGTTGGTGCCCATCCCAGCTCTGCTGCCACTCCTCTGGATGTCTGGACAAGTCCCTGGGCCTCGGTTCCCTCACTGTGAAATTAGAAGTCCATCCACAGAGAATGCTGGAGAGCCTCAGATTTAGGACTTGGGCTTAGCTGTCAAGCTGGACTTCCATTCTAGGCTCCATTTTGCTACTTACTGACTACATGACCTGAGGTAGAAACATACCCTCTCTGAACATCAGGGTCTTATGCTTAAAATGGGAACAGGATCAGGATCATTCTTAAGGTTGTGAAGGTTAAATGGGTCAGGGAGGTGGTCCAAAATGGCAGTGTTGGAAGACCCTGAACCTGCCTCCTCCCACCGAGGCCAAGTGGTGGGGGAACTGCTGGAACTCTCTCTGGGGTGAGAGGTGCAGGCAAGCACCATTGTTTATGTTCCCTTCCACCCTGATAACATGGGACTGGAGCAGGATCCGGGCACTCTTGCTGGTCGCCAGGGCCACAGTGAGCCTCGGGCTCCCAGCCCAGCCAAGCTCCAGTCATCCCCCCAAGGTGGCCCCTGCCCACACCTGCCCCAGCCACAGCTCCAGCTGTCTTACCAAAGTAGCCTGGGTGCAGAGCACTCTGGGACCACTCACTCCAGCATACAACACCATATACATATAGTGTGAAGGGGGAGTAAAAAGTAGTGCTTTTAGAATGTGTTTGAACTTAAGCAACCATCAACTTAATATAGACCCCTACATCCACAGGATGCTGTATATGAGCCTCATGGTAAACACAAACTGACACCTCCATAGGTACACAGAGATGAGATGGGATGTCTCACCCTTCTTCCTCAAAAATATTAATTGCGTGTCAACTGTGTGCTAGGTGCTGGGGAGGGCTTTGTGGCACTTACTGCCTAGTGGGAGAGGTGATGTAATTGTACCTAGCACATAGTAAGTGTTTAATTAATGTTGGCTGATACTATTCATGTCATTGCCAAAGTTCCTGGCAGCATGCAAATCATTTCGTCATATGGCTTGTCGTTTCTGGCTAGTTGAATTGTTGGGGCATGCTGAAGACATTTTTCCTGGATGAGAAGTGTGACCGAGGCAGAGGGCTGGCAAGCTCTTCCATCCAGCCTTACTCCCAAAATCCAGAGTGCCTCCCATTCATCCAGAAACAATGTTCTCCTTCAATAATCTTAAGGAATAATGACTGTCCTTTCTTGATAGCTAATGGTGTTGTTCAAAGCAAACAGTTCCCTCATAGCACCTAGTGTGTGTCAGGAACAGTTCTAAATCATTATATATTAACTTGTTTAACTTTTACAACCCCATTGGGTGAAGATACTGTTGTTCCCCTTATACAGATGAAAAAATGGAGGCTTGGGAAAGTTAAGTAACTTGCCCAAGATCACACAACTAGTAAACGGTAGGATAGGAGCTCAGCCCCTTGTGGTCTGGTTCTAGAGCCTATGTATACTCTTCTGCATCCCCTTTGGGCTGTGACAGACACCACCTCCTGTGGGGGCTCTTATGGATATTTTTCATCCCTCAGTGGATTTGTTGAAATCCAAACAAATGCTTGGAAGAATTTCAGTGGAGGCACCCCATAAAGCTGCAGACAGGGGACAGACATACTGGATGTTTTGCAGAGGCCTCAGTGTCTCCTGCAAATGGCAGCTGTTGCCAGGGGTCTACCTAATATCATATTCCTGGTGTTCTGTGGACCAGGACTGTTGGCCACTCTGTTGACCAAGCAAGACCCTGCTCAGCATTAGTATATCACATTAGTGACACTCTCAGCACTGCAGGGGTTGGAAGGAATGATCTTTTCAAACAGAGTAATGAATCACAACTCTTCCACTGCCCCAGAAACCTGATGGGTCAATGCATTGGTTCTCAAACTGTGTTCCCTTGAACCCTAACAGACTATATAAGATGCCCCAGGAACTTGGGTGGGCGGGGGGAGGTTCAGTGAAGGGTAAGAGAGGATCCTGCCCCTCCATCCTTGCCATATCTTGAGTGGCATCTGTTTGATCTATTTTATATGCTAGGTTTGCATATAAGATATTTGGAAAATCACATTTTGTGGCAAATGAAACAAACTCTTATTAAAGCACATGCCACATATAATTTATCTGTGTCCTCCTTCCTTCTGGAAGGGTAGAGAAACCAGCATTGATGAATAAGTGGTTTCTTGGATGCAAGCCCAGAGTGCCCCCAGCCCCAGCATTAGTTAATGGGCCAGAAGCCCCCCTAAATGAAACTCCCCTCCTGCATCCTCTCTTCTGTTTCAGGAGCCGTCTGCAGGCACTGGGGAGGTCCTTCTCTCCATCAGCTACCTCCCCGCTGCCAACCGCCTCCTGGTGGTGCTGATTAAGGCCAAGAACCTCCACTCTAACCAGTCCAAGGACCTCCTGGGGAAGGGTGAGTGCACTGTGAGAGGAGAGAGCCAGGGCACCCTGGCCTCTGGGAATGTGTGCAGAGGGAGGTGGCACCTGGGAGGCAATGGAGACAGGATGGTAGCATGAGTACATTTGTGGAGTCAGCCTCAGCTCTGTCCTCCCCCACCCCCAAGCTCACAAACTGATTTTGAAGGACACTCACTTCTTTAAATTCACATCCATTTAACCCCTGGGCCAATCCATCCATCAGGGCCCAAGTATGAGCTGCCTAGGGCTCCCCACTTTACAGATACGCTATAAGAAGAATCAGTCTTACCCATGGATCATAGGAAGCCAAGGATCAGACTGTAGCCTTGGAGTGGACTATCCAGGCTCTACAGGAAAATTGGCCCAGCCCTTGTCACCTAGACCTGGTTGGACCATCTCACAAGCAGGTGTCAGGAAGCCCGGGTTCTTCTCCTGCCTCAGCTAGCCATCTCTGTGCACCCCACACCCACTGCAGTCTTTTCTTTCTTCTCAGTATTTGTCAAGCTGCCACCCCCACACCAGCTGAGCGTAGGTGACGCCAGAAGGTGTGTGGGTGCGTGGGCTAAGGCAGCCTGAAGCTTAGGGCAACTGTGCCCCATATACCCAAATAAGCATCTTTCAGCCTTCTGGAAGCCTTGGCTTTTCCTTCTGGATACACTGGCACAGGCACCAAGTCTTGGGGACCAAACAGGCCCTCCCGTCAGAGCAGGAAAGCAGCATTGGTTAGCCATGTGATACCTAGACCCAGAGCTCAGCATTCATAGCAGGATACAAATAATTAGATATCAATAGGATGCAACTATAAATAGTTGCCATTGCCTTCAGAATCTGTGAGCAAAGGATTCTGGACGAACAAAATCAGAAAAACTGGTCTTGCTGACAGATTCCTGAGTCAGAGGTCAGAATTCACTGCTTTTTCCTCCTCACCTCCCAGGAGTTCTTTGCCCTCTGCTCCTTTTTTTTTACAGCTCCCATCAGGACAATTAACCAATGGAGAAGAGCGGTGGGCTCTTCTCCAAGGTTTTGGTGAGAACTTCATTGCATAGTCATGATTGACCAAATCATTGGCCATTGTCTGATTCAGCCTCCAGCCCCTGCCCTTGGGGGGAGTCCAAAAGTCTTTCATTAACATGACAAGACACCCATTTTGCCTTTAAGGCTCTGAAGTGTTTTCAGGAACTGCGGATGAAGACCAAATATACCTGGAAAATATATATTTGGTCATCAGAATGACCAAATATGTATTTCTTATAAATCACTGTATCACACCTACTCTGTGCTGGGCACTGCCGGGGAGATGGGCACCAGGCCCTGTGCCTATAGCACTTACAAACCAAAGTGATACACTGTAACAGACAAATGATGGTAAGGATGGTGATGACCTCTGATGTCTTGAATTCTGAGACATCTAAGAGGGACCCAGTGAAAGTGCTCTGACAGAGAGTTCCAGAAGGCCTGGTGTGAAGTCATGCTTGTGATGGGCTTTGAAGAACTGACTGGACTAGGAGCAGCCCCAGAGCCCAGCACTCTCCAGCAGCAGTGGCCCTGGAATGGTTCTCCCTAGCCCTCTTTCTCTGGGGGAGGCGTGGGTAGGAGGAAGTGGCTGCAGAGATGCTGTTTTGTTCAGAGGGGGCTTCCTTGAAGAGCAAACCACCATCTCCATGGACCAGGGCAGTTGGGGGTCAGGGAAGAGCAGGGCTACAGGTGGTGTGTGGTGCTTAGGCCCTGGGTCGAGGCATCATCCAAGGGCCATCATGATGTGGCCTAGAGGGAACATTCTGGAACCAGTCTCTCAACCAATTGGCCCATCCCTTATCTGGAAACTGTATACTCTCCAAAGCCTTAAGTATTTACTGTCTGACCTTTACAGAGAAAGTTTGCTGACCACCACGCTAGAGTAATAAAAATACCAAAAATAGCACTAATTTTTGAGTACTTTCCAGCTATCAGTTGCTGTACTTCGAACTTTACCTAAGTTCTTTGTGAATTAAACCAAGCAAAAATGATGTGTGACTCTCTCATTTACAGACAAAGGAACTGAGGCTTAGAGCTGTCCAGCACCACATGCAGGGTCGCCCAGCTGGGACATACAAGCTCAGCCTCGAGGCCAGGCCAGTCTGGCTGTAAATCTTGGGCTGCTCCCTGCCACTGTGCCAGCTATGGGCCTGACTCTGAGGAGTGACCAGCAGGAGCCCTGCCTGCTGGACTCTGCAGGAGGGAGAGTACATGTTCACTCCCCGCCTGCTCCCCTTTTGGCTCCGATCTCTTCCTTGCTTTATTATTCTTTTTCCCAGCCTCAGAAAATTGATAAAAATTGACAGCCACTCGCAGCTGGAACTATGCTGTTCCAAAGCATACTCTCTAATTAGTGTGTGATTTGGGACTTGTGCAGAATTCCATCTGGGGGCCTGGGAAGAGGAACTGATGCTTTGGTTTGTTTGGCTGGTGAACCACCTCTCTCTGGAGACGGAAGGGCTCTGATGCCCCTCCACTGGTACCACTCCCAAAATGGCTGAAGTCTGGCCTGTGTAGGCAGATGTCTCAGGCACCTACCCTGCTTCTATCCTTCCCTTGGAAGAGCAAACCTCATTCATTTCACAAATACCTCGCCCAGTTTCTACCATGTCCCAGGCACTGTGCCAGGAGCTGAGAACAGGGCAGTAATTATGACAAAGCACTGCCCTCCCGGCTCCCTCATCCCAATACTCACAGCCGTCACCATCAGGAAGTATACTCTCACCTCACTTGGCCCTCTGCCCTGTTTCCCACAAAGGAGAACAACCCAAGAGGGCAGTATAGAGTCACACGCAGGGGGTGGCCCTCAGTGCCTGCAGCAGGAGAGAGCCCGAGGCCAGGCTAGGGAGCCCTTTGCTGCAGCTGGAGGGTGTGGGCCAATTTGGACCAGTGGGTGGAGCCTGCAGCCACTGCAGCCCACACCTTGTCTTCTCCGGGTCAGAGGGTATTAACAGAGGTACCAGCAGTGTCCCACTTTTCACCAGAAGACACTCAGAGGTGGCATGTGCGTCACCAGGGATCACAGAGTGATCCACTCTGAGGGCATTGTGAATGATGCACTGAGAGTCCAAGGGAAAGATGGGGGTGGCAAGAGGGAGAGGATGAGGAAAAAGAAAGGGTTATTTTTGTCAGCAGGTATTTGAAGCTGCAGAGCTGTGTTGTGAAAATTCAGCGAGGGCTTATCCAGAGCTCTTGGCACCCCATGTACAGGTGACAAGACCTTCACAGGCTGATGGACCCAGGCTCCTCCAACCTGGTTGGGGGAAGGAGCACCCCCACCTGGTCACCCTGTGGCTACAGCTCAGGCCAAGCACAGACCTCTAATGAGCGGCCTTAAATAGGGAGGTTGGTGCCCATCCCAGCTCTGCTGCCACTCCTCTGGATGTCTGGACAAGTCCCTGGGCCTCGGTTCCCTCACTGTGAAATTAGAAGTCCATCCACAGAGAATGCTGGAGAGCCTCAGATTTAGGACTTGGGCTTAGCTGTCAAGCTGGACTTCCATTCTAGGCTCCATTTTGCTACTTACTGACTACATGACCTGAGGTAGAAACATACCCTCTCTGAACATCAGGGTCTTATGCTTAAAATGGGAACAGGATCAGGATCATTCTTAAGGTTGTGAAGGTTAAATGGGTCAGGGAGGTGGTCCAAAATGGCAGTGTTGGAAGACCCTGAACCTGCCTCCTCCCACCGAGGCCAAGTGGTGGGGGAACTGCTGGAACTCTCTCTGGGGTGAGAGGTGCAGGCAAGCACCATTGTTTATGTTCCCTTCCACCCTGATAACATGGGACTGGAGCAGGATCCGGGCACTCTTGCTGGTCGCCAGGGCCACAGTGAGCCTCGGGCTCCCAGCCCAGCCAAGCTCCAGTCATCCCCCCAAGGTGGCCCCTGCCCACACCTGCCCCAGCCACAGCTCCAGCTGTCTTACCAAAGTAGCCTGGGTGCAGAGCACTCTGGGACCACTCACTCCAGCATACAACACCATATACATATAGTGTGAAGGGGGAGTAAAAAGTAGTGCTTTTAGAATGTGTTTGAACTTAAGCAACCATCAACTTAATATAGACCCCTACATCCACAGGATGCTGTATATGAGCCTCATGGTAAACACAAACTGACACCTCCATAGGTACACAGAGATGAGATGGGATGTCTCACCCTTCTTCCTCAAAAATATTAATTGCGTGTCAACTGTGTGCTAGGTGCTGGGGAGGGCTTTGTGGCACTTACTGCCTAGTGGGAGAGGTGATGTAATTGTACCTAGCACATAGTAAGTGTTTAATTAATGTTGGCTGATACTATTCATGTCATTGCCAAAGTTCCTGGCAGCATGCAAATCATTTCGTCATATGGCTTGTCGTTTCTGGCTAGTTGAATTGTTGGGGCATGCTGAAGACATTTTTCCTGGATGAGAAGTGTGACCGAGGCAGAGGGCTGGCAAGCTCTTCCATCCAGCCTTACTCCCAAAATCCAGAGTGCCTCCCATTCATCCAGAAACAATGTTCTCCTTCAATAATCTTAAGGAATAATGACTGTCCTTTCTTGATAGCTAATGGTGTTGTTCAAAGCAAACAGTTCCCTCATAGCACCTAGTGTGTGTCAGGAACAGTTCTAAATCATTATATATTAACTTGTTTAACTTTTACAACCCCATTGGGTGAAGATACTGTTGTTCCCCTTATACAGATGAAAAAATGGAGGCTTGGGAAAGTTAAGTAACTTGCCCAAGATCACACAACTAGTAAACGGTAGGATAGGAGCTCAGCCCCTTGTGGTCTGGTTCTAGAGCCTATGTATACTCTTCTGCATCCCCTTTGGGCTGTGACAGACACCACCTCCTGTGGGGGCTCTTATGGATATTTTTCATCCCTCAGTGGATTTGTTGAAATCCAAACAAATGCTTGGAAGAATTTCAGTGGAGGCACCCCATAAAGCTGCAGACAGGGGACAGACATACTGGATGTTTTGCAGAGGCCTCAGTGTCTCCTGCAAATGGCAGCTGTTGCCAGGGGTCTACCTAATATCATATTCCTGGTGTTCTGTGGACCAGGACTGTTGGCCACTCTGTTGACCAAGCAAGACCCTGCTCAGCATTAGTATATCACATTAGTGACACTCTCAGCACTGCAGGGGTTGGAAGGAATGATCTTTTCAAACAGAGTAATGAATCACAACTCTTCCACTGCCCCAGAAACCTGATGGGTCAATGCATTGGTTCTCAAACTGTGTTCCCTTGAACCCTAACAGACTATATAAGATGCCCCAGGAACTTGGGTGGGCGGGGGGAGGTTCAGTGAAGGGTAAGAGAGGATCCTGCCCCTCCATCCTTGCCATATCTTGAGTGGCATCTGTTTGATCTATTTTATATGCTAGGTTTGCATATAAGATATTTGGAAAATCACATTTTGTGGCAAATGAAACAAACTCTTATTAAAGCACATGCCACATATAATTTATCTGTGTCCTCCTTCCTTCTGGAAGGGTAGAGAAACCAGCATTGATGAATAAGTGGTTTCTTGGATGCAAGCCCAGAGTGCCCCCAGCCCCAGCATTAGTTAATGGGCCAGAAGCCCCCCTAAATGAAACTCCCCTCCTGCATCCTCTCTTCTGTTTCAGGAGCCGTCTGCAGGCACTGGGGAGGTCCTTCTCTCCATCAGCTACCTCCCCGCTGCCAACCGCCTCCTGGTGGTGCTGATTAAGGCCAAGAACCTCCACTCTAACCAGTCCAAGGACCTCCTGGGGAAGGGTGAGTGCACTGTGAGAGGAGAGAGCCAGGGCACCCTGGCCTCTGGGAATGTGTGCAGAGGGAGGTGGCACCTGGGAGGCAATGGAGACAGGATGGTAGCATGAGTACATTTGTGGAGTCAGCCTCAGCTCTGTCCTCCCCCACCCCCAAGCTCACAAACTGATTTTGAAGGACACTCACTTCTTTAAATTCACATCCATTTAACCCCTGGGCCAATCCATCCATCAGGGCCCAAGTATGAGCTGCCTAGGGCTCCCCACTTTACAGATACGCTATAAGAAGAATCAGTCTTACCCATGGATCATAGGAAGCCAAGGATCAGACTGTAGCCTTGGAGTGGACTATCCAGGCTCTACAGGAAAATTGGCCCAGCCCTTGTCACCTAGACCTGGTTGGACCATCTCACAAGCAGGTGTCAGGAAGCCCGGGTTCTTCTCCTGCCTCAGCTAGCCATCTCTGTGCACCCCACACCCACTGCAGTCTTTTCTTTCTTCTCAGTATTTGTCAAGCTGCCACCCCCACACCAGCTGAGCGTAGGTGACGCCAGAAGGTGTGTGGGTGCGTGGGCTAAGGCAGCCTGAAGCTTAGGGCAACTGTGCCCCATATACCCAAATAAGCATCTTTCAGCCTTCTGGAAGCCTTGGCTTTTCCTTCTGGATACACTGGCACAGGCACCAAGTCTTGGGGACCAAACAGGCCCTCCCGTCAGAGCAGGAAAGCAGCATTGGTTAGCCATGTGATACCTAGACCCAGAGCTCAGCATTCATAGCAGGATACAAATAATTAGATATCAATAGGATGCAACTATAAATAGTTGCCATTGCCTTCAGAATCTGTGAGCAAAGGATTCTGGACGAACAAAATCAGAAAAACTGGTCTTGCTGACAGATTCCTGAGTCAGAGGTCAGAATTCACTGCTTTTTCCTCCTCACCTCCCAGGAGTTCTTTGCCCTCTGCTCCTTTTTTTTTACAGCTCCCATCAGGACAATTACAGCACAACACTTTGTCTTTCAGATATCTCTGCTGAAATAACAAACGAATCACCCAGGGTGATAATTAAAACAGTAAATACAGAGAAACAATTATTTTCACATTAGCTTTGGGAACCTTGACTAATGAAAACATAATCTGGGTCCTGAGCCCTGTGACTTGGAGATGAAAGCTTGTCTAGAAACCCATTTGGCAATTCCCAGGGGGCAGCTCTGTCGGTGCAGTACCCGTGGGGCCCAAGGCACTCTGCCCCCACCCTCCACATGAAATCAGGGGCCTCATGTAAGACTTATGAATGAACAAAGGAGAGGAACTCAACAACCAGCGAGAGACCTACTATCTTAACAATGGACGAAAATTCTTGGACAGAGAGTTAAAGGCATGAAGACACGGGGATGGCTGAATTTCTCTTGTCTAAGTTTAAAATCAAGCTGCAATACCTGAACCACTGCCCTTGGCCTGGTTCGATGAAGGACATGAAGACACTTGGAAGGGCTCATGGCGAAAAATGGTTCTAGCATGACCCGATTACGGGCCGCCCATTAACGAGCCTTATGTATTGTGCTACTGTCTGTTTTCTACATTAGAGTATAAGTTCTCCGGAGGTGGGAACTTTTGCTGTGCCCCATGTCTACAGCAGTTCCTGCCATATGGTGGCATTTAATAATTGTTGAATGAATGCATGGCCCAGAGGGGTGGGGTGGGGGATTGAGAGGGAGCTTCAGTACAAATCTGGAGCCAGAGACCCTGTCTCTCCTGACCCAAGAAAGGAGCATAATTCCAGGCTCCACTGTACCCCAAAAGCTCACTCTTCCCCTTCTCTCTGTCTTTCCTTTCCCTCTGCCCCTCCCCAGACGTCTCTGTCAAGGTGACTTTAAAGCACCAGGCTCAGAAGCTAAAGAAGAAGCAGACAAAACGGGCGAAGCACAAGATCAACCCTGTGTGGAATGAGATGATCATGTTCGAGCTTCCTGATGACCTGCTGCGGGCGTCCAGCGTGGAGCTGGAGGTGCTGGGCCAGGACGAGGAGGGGCACAGCCGCATGCTTGGCCACTGCAGCCTGGGCCTGCACGCCTCCGGCTCCGAGCGCAGCCACTGGGAAGAGATGCTCAAGAACCCTCGCCGGCAGATTGCCATGTGGCACCAGCTGCACGTGTAGCTTGCTTCCCAGCCACCTCCCTTCTCAGCACAGCCCCTCTACTCCAGCCCCAGCTGTCCTCTGTGACCTCCTCTTTGTGACCCATCCTCATCCTGACACCTAGAACACAGACATGTTTGCAAAGGCCACACTCTATTCCTCTTTTATCACATTTTCATTTCTAAAAAAATGAGCAGGGTAGGTCAGGGCAATGTGTAGAAGGGAACATTTGGGTCACACTATAGATATATTTTGTTCATCTGAAGAGACACTTAGCAAACATGCCCATGTGCATATTTTGCAGGTTGGGTCAGGCCAAATGTAGAGAAAGCTTAATTTGGGGAATAATGGGTGCAAAGAATGTAGCTTTTTAAAACTAAGCATTTCAAAATGTAGTGAAGGAAATAAAATATCCTGGATCAACTCATAGAATTAGAGATTGTCAGGGTGGGATGAAATCTTAGCCAGCATTAAATCATGCTCCCGACCTTAGTGTGTAAAGAATCACCAGCAGATTCCCAGGCCTACCTGTAGATATTCCGAATCAGTATTCCTGGCCCAAGCCCAGACACCTGCGTTTTTAACACATGAAGTGATTTTGATGCAGAGATTGGAACACTGCATTTGGCAAAAGCCCTTCTACAACGACATCACAACTGTCAGTGTGAAATTTGGGAACCTCTTTTTATTTATTTTAATTCTTACTGTTTTCATTTCTACTTTTCAGATCTTGTTCTTGGGCTGAATTTTGTGCTTTTATTGAATAACTTTATTGCTTTACCTCAAAATCAATTTCTGTTGTACTTGGGGAGATCTTCCCTGACAAGGAGTCAGGGGGACCCCCATTAGTCACTGGGCTGGATTCTGAGACCTAGTTGTCATGTCCACCAGCATCCCCCAAGTGACCCTCTGAGACAGACCCTCTCCTTGGCATTCCAGCCTTTTCAGGAGGAATTCAGTTTGAGGCACATGTTAATTTAGTCTATGACATCTGGCTATGTGGACATGGAGAAGGAAAATACCTTTAAACAGGAAAGTCCTTTTGCAAATGTGCCTCCCTTCCTCCACTTTCAGGGCCTATTTCTTTAATCAGTCAATAACCAGCATCTAGGTTTCAAATTCCTACCTTATTACTCTGAATAACTGTCCACATTCTTAATTAAGTTATGAGCCTTGATGACTGTTCATAACTTTTTCTCATAAACCAGGATTCCTGGATTCTGCTGTTGGCTATCTATAAAATAGGACCAATGACATGGCAGTTCTGTCTCCGTGAATGATGTGATAGATGAAATAGCACTTGAAAGCTGTAGGCACCCTCTGGCTAAAAATTCTGAGGCCACCAGCAGATCATTTTTAAGCTTCAAGTTGGTAGCTGACAATGCCTGGAAAGTGCCAGAATCATTACAGGCACCTCCAGAACCATGGATTCTGCATTTGAACTCCTCAATACTGACATCCAAACTCTGGGCCTTTAGATGTCACCCTGGTCGTCTGATCTACATAAGAGTTCCTAGACAAGAGAGATAAGGGCTGTACTTCACTCCTTCAACAAGTCAGGTCACGCTTGCCTTCTTTCCAAAAATCTGCATGGGACCTTATCACCTTTTGTCATTACTTTCCCTTTTATGTACAGAAGTAGAAAAGTGTTAGAAACAAATTCTACCCATCCTCTGAAGAAACAGAAACAATATCTAATCTCTCTTTAATAGGAAAGCCTTTCAGATAATTGGAAATCTTGCTCATTAAGGCTGACCGTGTCCTGCCAAAGTTTTCTAGACAAAGTATCTGTTAGTGATTTCCTGTAACATGCTTTTAAGACTCCCCTTACCACTCTGCTCTCCCTCTTTTGGTTGGTTTGGCTAAATGAGAACAAAACATTCCCTGTGTAAGCCGACCAGTACTCTCTTCTTGGTAACATCTGCTACTCTAAGCTAGAAAAGTCTGGATGCTAGACTCGAAATCAGGAAGTATGGGTCCTCTGTCCTTCTAAATTTACATACCTGCCTTACAGTCACACCAAAGGATGTTTGGGTGAGCTGGGTAAGACCTCCGATCCTAGAAATATCAACCCATGGCCATTCCATCATGACCATCATGGCATTCATTTTTTTGGTGGGGCAAATCTCAAAGATTTGGTTTTCCAGAATACAAATTAAAGGCTGCCCCTGACAGGAGTCAAGTGCCACCACAGAACGTCTTAGATGTCAGCCATCACCTCACTCAGCACGCATGCACAGAAATGAGACAGGTTTTGCAGGGGTCTTTGTTATATTCACTGGTGTATTTACCAGACATATTTGCAACTTACTACCTACTGAATTAGAGTAAGTGAGCCTGTATGAATGCAGATGATTGTTTCTGAAAGGAACACCTGTGTTTTGTCAGGAAGCATTTTCTAAGGGCGTGGAGAAGAAGTAGAAACAAAGTGAGAAGCCATCTCAGAATAGGCTGTTGCCCATAAGGTGATCTGGTTCTTTCCTCCATATGGCGATGGGGATAGAGAATTGGGATTCTACCCTCAATCTGTGGCTCCACTTTGTGCGCCAAATCAATATGTATTTGTTGAGTGATTACTGATCAAGACCTTGCATGTGTCTATCCATTTCATTTTGAGATATGACTCTTGGTGTGAGTTGAGTGACAGATCACCCCAAACGATACTATGTAGAGAGAGCAAAATGAGAGAGTAGTCCTTCAGGGACAATTCCCTTGGGATGTAAAAGCATCCTGGGTGGCAGGCCTAAGCCAAATCGTTATGAGTATCATCAAAGGAGAGAACTAGTCCTTGTGATTTGTTTCTGCTACCTGTGTTTCCTGTTAATGCTAAGTGTGTGTTTGTTTTGCAATCATGAACCGAAGCACAAAGAGACGCATGAAACATTGTAGTCCTTTGTCTGGTGTCACACTTTACAGCAAAAACCTTTTAGTGGTAAATAAATGATTTCCAGCTGGGTCAGCTTCCTGGTGTTTTCTTTTCTTTTCCCTTAATATTTTAGATATATAAAATGAAGAAAAAACTACTTTGATAAACACTCATGAACCACTGACAAGTTTATAAAACTTGACAAATACAGTTGAGTCCGTTCAGGAACCACCATACTGAATTTGGGGTTTCTTCACCCCAAGCATTTCTTTATCTCTATTGTATGCACATGTAAACCCTGAGCAATTTGGTGTATTTATGTATGTTTTAAACTTTATGTAAATTGTATCACACTGTTTTTGTGCAACATTAAAACTTGAAGCTTTATCCATGCAACATATGTAGCTTTAGCTCATTTTTTTGCTATATAATATTCCATCATATGGATATTCCAAATTCCATTTTCTTGTTGTGCATTTAGATGTTCCCTTTTTTTCTTTTGCTGTCACAGGGCTGCTATGAACATTCTTAGCTTGTCTCCTTGTAAACATGGGCAAGTTTCTCTTAAGATACCTACCTAGAAGTGAGTAGAATCACTGGAACATAGAGTGCTCTGTGTGTGTGTGTGTGTGTGTGCGCGCGTGCGTGTGCGTGTGCATGTACCCTGATGACCTTGTTTGAGCACTGAATCAAAGGGGCTATATATAAGTACGGATATAAGAGGCATGGCCTCTCGGGGCTTTGAATTTATTCTTGAGATGGAAAATTAAGTGGAAACTAGAGACTCCCCTTTCTCTAACATCCCGAAAGAAATACTCCCATCGTTGCACCAGCTGATGGTTCTGCACTCCAGATGGTGGGCAGGGACAAAGGGACTCCTGAAGTGCTGACACCTTAGGCCCTCTGGTGGCTGCCACAGCACTGGTCTCTGGAGAAAGAGGCTCTGGCATTAAGCAAGGGGCAGGGCCTGAATTCTAAAGTAAGTAGGAATCAGCCAGATCACATGGAATTAAAACCAAAGTTTCTTAAAAAGGATAAATGATCAATAAAGAAAGCCATGAGATGTCTTTGATTTCCAAGTCTGTGCCTATAATTCCTTATTTTATACTACATATATTTTATTTTAGTGACAAGATTTTTATTTTCATAATAAAATAGAAGTGTATCCTATCCCACGTAGTCAAATACTATGTACACTGTGTGTTTCACAGGTAGCTATGAATATAGCCCACCAGAGCCCAACACTAATATTTGAGAGACTGTATTTATATAAAAGAGAAATGGAAGAAGGAAGAACAGTTCCCTAATCAGTTTATACAGGGCTTTCTACTGAACTGATTTAAATAACAAACTTTTTCCTGCATGTAACAGACTCAAGTCTAGAGTTCTGCATTTAGGACATAAGAACCTGCTACCCAGGTTGGCTTTGTCACCGGTCACCTTCAAGGCCCTGGGCAAGTCAGGGGGGCCTCAGTTTCCACATGAGTAAAATGAATTTGGGCCAAATGATCACTAAAGTTTCTTCTAGCTTTAACATTTTGTGATTCTGTAATTTAGACTCTAAACTCTAATGTCTAGGTTCTGACATACAGCCTGGCAACAATGTATTTTTCACATGTCTTTGGCTTCCTATCTTGTGCATGAAACAAACTAAACCCCCATATATGTGGACATGCCTTCCCTGATTCTTCTGGCATCTTCTGACAATCCCTCCTGACAGTCACCCATTCCTCTAGACAATATGCAATATGACCTGAGGCCTCTTCTCATATGTTTAATTGCTAATGGGGCCAGTCTTGGGGCTGGAGGCCAGATGTTGCCATGGAAACCGGGCTCATGGTGGCCACCTGGCCTTATGGTGGCTGGTCCTCAGCCCATCATGGTCTCCTCTCAACGCAGCCCAGGCTGGAGCATGGTTTCCCACCCTGATTTCCCAGCACTTACTCTTGGTGTTCAGGCAGCCCACTTAGCAGAGGTGCGATGGCAGAAACCCTGTTTCAGAAACCCAGGGATTCAAACCAGGGACAAGCAAGAAGAAACACGTTTTTTCTAGCCAAAAACAAACAAACCCCCTATGCAGTCTGTTTTCCCTAGAGAGCCAAGCAAGATGAGCTATTGTCACAGAAGAATGTGCCCTGAGGAGCTTTCTCTAGGCTGAGAAGGAAAAAGTGAGATCCCTTTTCAGGCAGAGGCACCCTGTCAGCTGTCAGCATATGTATAGGTGCTCTGCAGCATAAGTCACAGGCAACCCCTCACCCAGAGCAGCTCCAGGGATTCTGGGTGAAAAAGGATGGCAGCAGACTACCCTTCCTAGGACCTACTTCACCCTGATCTAAGAGATAACAGTAACAATGATGATAAATAGCATGTAGTAAACCATTGCTCTGTGTTGAGCACTCTGTGTTAACACAGACTCAGATAAGTGACTTGTCCAAGATCTCAGCTTGTAAGAGGCAGAGGAGGGATTCAAATCTGGTATTCTCTAACCCTAAAGTCCAGGCTCTGACATACAGCCAGTGGTCTTTATTGGGAAGTTAACTTACAAGTATAGGCAGTAGCTTCAAAATGCTACCTGGAACCACAGACTCAGACTCACCAAGCGGGAAGGAGCTGGAAAAGTTCTCTTTCCTGGGGGCATTAGGGGACACCTGACTGGCTTGGGAGGAATGTTATACAGAGGACAAGAGCAGTTGGAATGGAGGAGAACTCAAGTAAGCCCCTCCAGGGCAACAGCCAGCTTTGTAGAGAGAAGGTGCTGGATCAAGGCCAGATGTAGCCAGTGGTCAGGTGCGGGGTCATCCTGATCAAATGAAGAAACCAAGACAGAGACAGGTGAAGTGGAAGAATCTAGGATTCTGCTGTGACCAATATAGCATTGCTGGGATTGAATTTTATCAGTGATGTCAGGGTTCTTGTTCACAGAGTCTAAGAAATGAACTTCATGCACAGACAAGGCAGGAGATTTACAGAGAGTTTTTATTCAGATACAGAGAGAGAGCTTTATTCAGGATAAGAGAAAGTATGGAACTCCCTGCAGGTGCAGAGAGAGGCAAGGTTGCTGCTTGGGGTCTCAGTGTCTAGGGTTTTATGCTTGCTGCAGTGGGAGTTTTCTATAGATTCAGCCCGAATTGTCCTTTTTGCAGGGCCCACACCTATTCTAACTGGGCAGGAGTTATGCCCTGCCACCTCCCTGTCTCATCAGATGCTGCTTAAAGTCATCCATTTATTCACCTATTCATTAAACATTGATCAAGTGCCTATTATGTGATAGGAACTGCACACAGTGATATTAAAAACGCTCTACTTTTCCCTGTGGATGTTAAAACCTAGAGGAGGAAGTCCAGACATAGAACAATCACACACATAAACACACATGCTAATTAAACAGCTGCAAATTGAGATAAGTGTTATGAAGGAAAATATCAGGAGGACTAATGCACAGTGCCTTGAGGGTGGCTATTTAGAGGGGTTGGTCAGGGAGGTAGGCAGTGGCAGAATTGTGCAGGGCTGATTGATGTTCATGACCAGAACTTTGGATGGAGCTCGAAGGGTAATGGGAAACCCCCAGAGGGTTTTAAGCAGAAAGGATTTCATGACTGGATTTGTGTTTTCCATTAGCATGTCCCAGACACTGATGCAAATATGGGTCAAATCTGTACAGCCCACAGTTGAGTGAGGGCTGACCCTGGTTCACCTGGGCTGGTTAGACATGGACAGCTAGGCTCCTTTGCTCCTTCCTCCGCTTATCTCCTCTCCTGAGAAAGAAGAGAACCAGAACATTCCATGGGAACTGTGGGTGTTTTTCACAACAGGAAGCTGAGTGACCAGCTGAGGGTCGGTCTCCAGGGACTGAGAGGGACACAGACTGGGAGAAGATGGCAGGCACCAAGAAGTCAGAGCTTTAGAAAAGGGAAGAGGGCCCCTCTGAAAGGAAGCTAGACTTCAGGGGACAGCAGCTGGAAGGAGGGCTTAATAGCTTGGGAGGAGAAACTAAAAACAGTTCGTTGGAGGGAGAATTTAAGTAACAGCTTATCTGCAATTGCTCTGTGTTTCCTCAAAGATTCTGTGGGGTAAGTGTATGGGGGACAAATCGGCTCATTTTAAATGGTTTCCATTAAACCTTCCTTTGGTGGGGTAGGTTACCTGCTAGAAGTGGACTTGAATTCTGTTACAGTGAGAACAGCAGGCAGAGACTTAAAAGTTTCCTTCCAACCTGGCTGCAGGCAGGCTCCTAACCTGACACTGGAACCCTTGCTCTGGCACCCACACACAATCGCCCTGAGCACATATGTGGGATAGAGGCAAGGAGGCAGAGATTCGATCGTGGTGAGCAAATTTAAATGCTTTTATTAACAATCTTCTTACATTACAAGGGTAATATGACAAAAGGAAGGTTTCTGCATACATGTTATGATAAACCAACATAGCTCTATTTGTATCCAGTGTTCTAGATCCCGTCACACAGGTACTATAAAGCGTTGTCTGCAAAATAATAACATCGAGTTTTTGTTTTAAGAAAGAAAGTATTAACATATTAATATGTATGTGATAATAGACTCCTAGGTATTTTACCCCACCCCCACTGTATTTTTCCTTTGTGATTGAAATGAAACAGTTCAGCAGCGTGGGGGTGGAGAGGAGAGAGATGGGCTGAAAAAGACGGAGACTGCTGGCTCTTCCAGAGAGACAGAAGTGAAGACTGAGTGGTGCCTGAGGGCAGCCTGGCCCTCGTCTTTTTGTGAGCAGTACTGCAACCGGCTGTCCTCCTCTGGGCGGAGGTCCGGTACCCTTGATGCCCCATGGTATGTGCTCTCTCTGAGGTACAGTGCATTGTGGGATTGCTACCCAGGGGATACCCATCCCCTGGCCATGGGTCTGGTCCACTGCAGTGGGAGGAGGGCTCGGGCCGGGCCTGGTCTCTCTTGAGCCAGGCACTGGAGGGTGTCCCAAGGGTGTATCTAGTTGTGGCTCAAAGTGACCCAGGCTTGGCGGGGATGTGGGCATCGGCAGAACAGACCTGCCCCAGAATGTAGGTATAGGAGTGGCTCTGCTGGAGACTGAGGTACGTTGGTAGGATGATGAGGAGAGGACAGGGGGTCAGAGGAGGCTCAGGGATGGAACATGGTGCCTCTGTAGAGCTGGAAGGCAGAGGCTGGTCTGGAGAGCTGAGGATGCAGCGGCCTTATGTCTCCCATCATCTGCAGGCCCGTCAGCTCCTCCTCTCCTACCTCCATGGGAAAGAAATGACAGAGAGAAACCTGGAAGCATAACTGGCTTCTGATTCTGTCAGGGCTGAGCAAGCCCTCCGTCATGCTGCCAGCTGCACCAGTGGCCCCTCAGGCCTCCAGATATCCCTCCCCGGCTCAGGGTAGGAGGAAAGACAAGTC